TATGTGGTAAAACCCAAGAGGAGCATAATCTTAATCTGGAAAAATTTCTCAAGTCAGCTAAAAATATAAATCTTACTTATAATCATGATAAATGTAGCTTTTCCCAAGATAAAATTTGTATTCTTGGTTATCTTATAGAAGAAGGAAAACTCAAACCAGATCCCAGTCGCCTTCAACTTATGAAAGAAATGCCTCCTCCTCATGATGCTAAATCCATGAAGCGTATCATCGGACTATTCTCATACTACTCTAAATGGATTCCAAACTTTTCCGATAAGATAGCTTCTCTTACCAAAAACACCAAGTACCCATTAGATCATCAGTGTGTAAATGATTTCAATCAACTTAAACAAGACATTGCAAATGCTGTGACAGATTATGTGGACAAAAATGTTCCATTTGAAGTAGAAACGGACGCATCTGACATTGCTATAGCTGCAGTTCTTAATCAAAATGGCCGCCCTGTAGCTTTCTTTTCAAGATTACTTCAAAAATCTGAACTCAAACATCCCTCTATTGAGAAAGAAGCTTGCACAATAATAGAAGCAGTCAGGCATTGGAAACACTACCTTACTGGACGCCATTTTAAACTTATTACTGATCAGCAACCTGTATCCTATATCTTCGAAAAGCAACATAAATCAAATATTAAAAATGATAAAATTTATCGATGGAAAATTGAACTATCGTGCTATAATTATGACATTGTTTACAGGGAAGGGAAACTAAATATTCCAGCTGACACATTTTCTAGAATACATTGCTCAGCAATAAACACTAACAACTTAATTCAGCTTCATCAATCACTCTGTCATCCTGGAGTAACTAGGTTTTATGCTTTTATTAAAAACCGTAATTTACCTTTCTCAATTGATGATGTTAAACGAATAACTAATCAGTGCAAACTATGTTGTGAATGTAAGCCTAGATACTACAAACCACTAAAATCTAATTTGATAAAGGCGACACAACCACTGGAACGTTTGAACTTAGATTTTAAAGGACCTCTTCCTTCGGAAACTAATAACAAGTATTTTTTAACCATAATTGATGAGTATTCTCGTTTTCCTTTTGCAATCCCGTGCCCTGATATTTCAGCTCAGACTGTAATTAAGTGTTTGTCACAAGTATTCTCGATTTTTGGTTTGCCAAGTTACATCCATTCCGATAGAGGTTCAGCCTTCATCAGTAAAGAATTAAAACAATACTTACTAGAGAAAGGTATTGCGACAAGTCATACTACAACATATAATCCACAAGGGAATGGACAAGCCGAAAAGTATAATGGAACTATAATGAAGTCTATTGAGATTGCTACTAGACAACACAATTTACCCATCAAAGCTTGGGAAAAAGTATTGCCAGACGTTCTCCATTCTATAAGATCCTTAGTAAATACTAAAACAATGGAGACACCTCATGAAAGAATGTTTAAGCACCTTCGTAAAACAGCCTCTGGATGCACTTTACCTTCATGGTTAAGTCATCCTGGACCAATACTAATGAAAAGACATTTACGTAATAATAAGTATGAACCACTGGTAGACGAAGTGCAACTCATAGATGCTAATCCTCAATATGCTCACATAAAGTATCCAGATGGAAAAGAAACCACAGTTTCCCTAAGACACTTAGCTCCAACAAGTTCTGCTCCGATCATTGATCAAACAAACCATATTGAACCTTCACCAGAGAATGCCTTTAATAATATTAAATCTTCACCAGAGAATGCTTTTAATAAACCTTCTTACCCCTATAAACCATTAACACCTGAGAAATATGGACTTACCAATACCAATCCTGAAAACTTTCCTAACCTGCCTCCCCTTTATCAACCTCCGCCAGCTGAAAATCTTGTCAATGATGCTTGTCCGATCAATCCATTGTTATTAATAACACCTGGAAAAGACACACGTAGATCCTCAAGAGCAATTCGTCGACCATTACAACTTATAGAAGAAGATACATGAAAAACCTTGTTTGTATTATTATAGTATATTCTGTTTGTATTATGGCTGCAGAGAATGTTGAGTTTTGATTATTTTAGATTATGTTTTTATGTTTTGGTTATTATGATTATGTTTATTTTAGAGTAGAAAAACTTATAAGAATTAAAATATTGTAGTTCTTTATACAAGTGTTTCAGAACTGGATATGGTAGAAGATTGTTATTGTGTCAGTTGCAGAGCAACTCTGCTAATGTTAATGCTGCTCTAAAAGACATGGGAGTACTAAATAAATCAATATGCTTAATAGAAAAAAAGTAGAAAAAAAAATAATTACAAATAATAAATTATGACAATACAATAACAACTATAGAAACATAAAAACATATTGCAATAGTTAGAGAACCAAACAGCAGCTATATAGATCACCTAACACCTAATGGAACTTCTCTCTGGATTGCTGATGAAATTATTTATTAATTTGAAACTGACGTAGTGGTTCTTTAAATGCTACCTTATGTGATGCAACTGTAGTATATACTGGTAAGTTTGGAGCAGTGATAAAACCAATAGAAACAGAACTTAACAGACCAATCCAGAGGCTCATTTGTCAACTCCATTTAAATGAACTTACGTTTAAACGTGTGCTTGAGTTATTTGATGGAAAAACTTCTGGCCCCAGCTCATTTAAAGGAGAAATTGGTAAAAATATAACAGAAGATTTAACTAATTTAGCAGTTGTTCCTTTAAAAAAAAAAAAAGGTACTTTTCATATAGTTGCTCATAAAAATTTTCAGTACATTAGGCTCAAATCAAAAATATGTTTACAGTGTTTATATATTCAATCAGGGGAGGTTTCAAATAAAATATCTAAATGTTCTCCTGGAAACATTCATCATGCTCGGTGGCTCACAAAAGCAAATCATGTTCTACGTTTATATATTTCTAGAGTAATGCCAACAATAGAACTTATTCAATTGGTTACATATTAAATCACATTGTTTAGCAAAACATAGCGCTCAAAATTTATGGTATCTGGTCATTTAATAAGAAATGCAGTTGTTGGTGTAAATAAATAAGGAGGTAATGGAATAATTTTTTAAAAAAACTCATATTTTGCCGACACCGAGAATATATTATTGGCAATCATAAATAATGAAAGAAAAGAAGTTAGAACTGCATCCATAAAAAAGATACTCAAATCCAAAAACAATAACGAACAAAATAGGCGTTTTAAACTTCCAGCAACACTAATTTTTGGAGCCTCAATGTTCTAATTTTTGGAACATTGAGGAAGTTAATTTACTACCTTTACTAAATGTCTTTTCAAATAAAAATATTTTGAAAGCCAATGGCAGCTCATTAGGAATTCCAAAATATCTTTGTCATAAAAAAAATATGGAAAAAATTGTTGGAATATTCACAAAAGTATCAAAAATTAGATATGGCTATGAAAGAGTCATAAATTTGTAATAAACTTATTGGAACCTAGGGGGAAAATGCCCACGTTTGATTGGAAAGCACAATGGAAATAAGACCTTTGAATAAAGATATAAACAAAAGTAGGTGTATATATATAAATATATGTTTTATAGCATCAAAAGGTTTTTTACTTAACTTTTTTGCTATTAAAAGTTCCTGTTGGTGCTTTTCTTAAAAATGAAATCATTTTGTACTTATCTGAAAAGAAGCATTTTTAAAATTATGTTCTTTTTTTAAAACAGTAAACTATGAGAGAATTTATTAGTGTTGTTACGACTTTTAAACAATTCCACTGTCGACTACATCGACATCTTGACTAAAATCAACTTCAACATTTTTGAAATCAACCAAGTCGACTAAAAGTTGATTTAGTAAAAGTAAGGGAATAATTTATTTTTCTGAAATAAATTGTAAAACAAAAAACTAAGCAATAGTTATAGTAATATATGTTATTGTTTGAAATAGACAAACAAAAACTAAAAATTGAAAGTTAAATCAACTGAAAAGTTAAATCAAAAATATGTAAGGATTTTAAAACTTTTACTCAACAAATTGTCTTTTAGTAGATTTTTAGTAGAAACTAGAATTTATATTGTATAACTAAATCACAATAATTAAAAGGTATAAAACACAATAAAGATAAAAATTGCTAACCTTAATCTGCTATATAACATTTATATATATATATATATATATATATATATATATATATATATATATATATATATATATATATATATATATATATATATATATATAATTAAACTGATAGTAGTAAAAAATATGTAGCTTAATTTATAAAAAATCTATGTATATATATATATATATTAATATATATATATATATATATATATATATATATATATATATATATATATATATATATATATATATATATATATATATTTATATATATATATATATATATATATATATTTATATATATATATATATACTTATATATATATATATATATATATATATATATATATATATATATATATTTTATATATATATATATATATATATATATATATATATATAGGCCTACAATATCACTTACAGGGACAAGTTTATAAAATAATGTATATTTTTGTGTACCTGCTAATCTTTTTGCTCCATAAGTTGTAAAATTTTTCATTAAGTCCCCATTAACAACTTTTATGAAAAGAGTATGCATTGACTGACAAATATGTAGAACATGCAGGGGAATTTCGCTACATAAACTATGGGTTTGGGTTGGGGCAGGATTAGGGTTAGGATTACATTTTTATTTAAATGTTTTATGTTTCTATAAATCTTCATTTTTTTATAAATAAATGAACAAAAATATGAAATATAATAAATAATAATTAAGCAAAGATAACAAACGTATTTTTATAGCAAAATATTAAATTTAAATATGTACAAACAAAGAAAAAAATAAAAATACAAAAAAATATAAGAAGTATGAAAAGAGTAAAAAAATTATATTTTATGGGAATAAAAAAAAAATATCTCTATTAGTATAATCTAGGGAAATCAGATATTTTAATTACTTCCAATTTTTTTTAGAAATAGCTACTTACATACCTTTCCATTGCATAAAAGCAGCAATTTATCAAACATATGGAACATAGGACTAGATGGTTGATGGATAGTCATACATACTGCACGGTTCTCATTCTGTGCAAGTCTTTTTAAAGTTTTAATCAGACTGAGTGATGTTGATGAATCTAATCCTGAAGTTGGTTCCTAAATCATAATCAATTTTTTGATTTCATTTTAGACTCAAGTTTTCCATAACAATTTGTTCATTAAAATCTTTATTTTTTGTTAACATAAAAAATACTTTTATGTTGACACATTGCCTACTATAAATACATGGCCGGGTTTGTTGGTTTTTATGGAAAAAATTAGAAGGCCAGTTTTATTTGCTGTAATAAACAATATCTTAAAACAGAAGGCTTTGTTTTTCTTGTTATATATAATATTTTTTGATTATATATGAATTTTATTATGAGTTTTGAGTAACTTATTAATTTTGATGTAACAATATAAATACAATATTTAGACACATTTAAAACAGCTTGTTGCTTTTGAGATATGATTATTTTTATTGTGCTTCAAAAATATAAGAAATACTTTTATTTTCATACCCAGAATTCTTAATATAATGCCAAACAAGTGTGCAGAGATAAAATGTTGCAGTGGATACAAAAGTAAATCATCAAATACAAATGTGAATACTCTAAAATTGACTTCAGAAACAACTGTTTATAACAAAGAAAATAGTGTTTTTGTGTTTCCTGATGCTCTTAAAAGACCTAAGTTAAGAAAAAAATGGATTAAGTTTGTTAATAGAAAAAATTGGTTTCCTACAGAACATCCAGGTGTTAGTAGCGCACACTTTGATCCAAAATTTCTAAAGCACGGTGTTAGAAGACTCTTATTTATGATCTTCACCCAATACCAACTATTTATTCAAATGATGCAATAAAAAATTCCACCTCCTCTGTTATTATCTATTCCAGATCCATCAAGAAAATATCCAACTAGATGCGTCCCAAGCATTCAAGATGAATCAGATATTTTTATGGAAAAAGATTCTATCAAAGACCTAGAAATGTTAGATTCATCTTCAAGTCCTGTTGGCTTTATTTTTCAAAAATATGACTCCCATGTTTTATATTATCGTATTTTTAATGTGGCATCTATTGATGTCACATTAAAAATACGATAATATAAAACATGGGTATTAAAAATACGATAATATAAAATGCTCCCTGTATTGAATCAATACAAGTTGATTCTACTTTGCATGTAAAGTTGCATCACAATGGAGGTCGAATTCCTCTTCCAAAGTGGTTTAAGCAAAACCAATATTTACTTAAAAATATTAGCATATTAGAAAACCTTGCATCAAATATGCATGTTTTTGTTGCAGAAAAAAAAATACTATTTTAGATGAAATTCATAGTATCCAATATTATAAACCGAAAGGCAGGAAACCATATTCATCTGAAGTTCTTCGTTTTTCATTATTGCAACGCTATACTTCAAACCAAGCATACATTCAATTACAAGAAAAAATACCTTTACTGTCATTGTCAGTTTTAAAAAAATTAGCAGCTGGAGGAATTGAACCCTTAAAAGCTATTAAGTTACTCTTGGAGTAAGAAAAAGTAGACCCAGACTGTATTTTAATGTTGGATGAAATGTATTTACAGAAATGTAGTGAGTATAGTGGCGGTAAATATGTTGGTTTGGATAAAAATTGTAACTTTTTCAAAAGTATCCTTGTTTTTATGATTGTGAGTTTAAAAAAATCTATCCCTTATGTTATAAAGTCTTGTCCACAAACAAAAATAAATGGAGATACAGTTTTCCTTGAAATTAAAGAAAGTTTGTCTGTTTTGAAATTAGCAGGATTTAATGTACATTCAATAGTTGCAGACAATCATTTGACAAATGTATCGGGATATGGACAGTTGATTAAATGCTTCGGAACTGGTAAATCTGAAGAAGATCATTTTATTGTGTACGAAGAAAAAAAAATTTACCTTATGTATGATAGTGTTCATCTCTTAAAAAATATTTGAAATAATCTACTTAATTCTAAGCAATTAATATTCCCTGTTTTCCATTTCGATGGACTTTATGATCCTATTTCAGTTACTGCTAGTGAAATACCTTAGCATCTTCTCCATAAAACTTACAAAAAGGATGAAAAACTTAGTGCTAATTTACGTAAGGCACATAAACTCACATTTCAAACTTTACATCCAGGAAATGATAAGCAAAGTGTTCCTCTTGCTTTGAATGTTTTTCATAAAACAACGTCAGCTGCCATTAAAAGTTATTTTCCACAAGATTTATCTGCAGCTGAATTTTTACATCTTATTAATAGTTGGTGGTTAATATCGAATTCAAAGTCAAAATATTCAAATAACTATATTGGTTATGCAGTTGTGAGGGAAGATAAAAAACCTGAATTCTTATGTTGTTTTTTGAAGTGGATTAATGAATGGCAAATAAAACAGTTAAAGGAGTGTGGAAAGTTTACTCTTAGCAAGCAAACAGCAAATGCTAT